TAATATTTAAAAAATATTTATTAAGAGAAGAAGATAGTCAATCTTTACGAATCCTTCAAGCATTTATCAATACGAAAATTAATAACATCTAAGTATGCTCTTCTCAAAAGTATTTAATTTTCATTATCAGGTAATATCAGACGAACCACCTTGATTATTTTTATCATTGTTTAATCAACTATAATTTCTTCATTACACGATTTCAAAGATTCTTCGGAGTGATGACATTTGATATTCTTTCTCGTTTCTTATATGAGCTTTCAAAGTCACCTTCAGTCATTATATGTATAACGCTGTAACTTTCCTGCCCATCAAATTAAATATCATCTCCAAGGTCCTTACCGTATCACTTGATCGAAAAGATTTTAATCGATCAAGCATGAAGATAATTGAGGTGGTTCACGTTAGGTACTTCAGTCTATATATGTATGGCTATTAAAATGCACGCGACCCTCGATTTACATTGGTTATTAAAACCGCGTGGGTACAATCTGTCAGTGAAAACCAAAATAACTGAGAGAAAAACTGGTATAAATTAAAAAGATATACAGTCGCTCACAAAAATATTCGAACACTATACAAATTTCAAGAGAGTATTCTAACCTAAAAATTCTGATTTTAATGAATGTTTGTATGCATATAAAGCATAACGAGTTACACATGGTTCAATACTTTTCATTTCAAAAATACTATTACCATATTTTACTACGAAGTACATGATTTTTATATATATTTACATACATATCTATTTTAGTTGTCAGACCAGGCAGTAAATTAATTTATCTTTTCGCGTATAAAATAAAGCGACAATACGTCTGTCACATTTACATTCTTGCTTGATATATACAGTGGCTCACAAAAATATTCGAACACTATCCAAATTTCAAGACAGTATTCTAACCTAAAAATTCTGATTTTAATTAAAAATACACGTATACGTAAAGCATAAAGAGTTACACACGGTTCGATTCTTTTTATTTGCAGATATTGCTTCACGTGGATGAAATCGTTACTCAAAATTACAGTCCGATCCCTGTTTCTTTAAATAAAACTGTATAACGATGCGAGATAAAGATAAACTTTTCGAATAGAAAATGTTTAACTCTTGGTACTCTGTCACTCTATAGTAAAAATTTCTCTGTGTGAGATCTCGTTTAAGAACCAAAAAAAAATTGTTAAAACTATAGTTGTTGATTTTACGCCCTTAAAGTCATTTTCTGCCAATGAAAAAATTACTGCACACGTAACTCGTTATACTTTACCTGCACGCAAACTTTCATTAAAATCAGAATTTTTAGGTTAGAAAATTCCTTTGAAATATAGCGTGCGAATACTTTCGTAGGCTACTGTATATATTTCGTATATTTTTATCAAGAAAAATGAAAAATCGAAATAAATATGCTTGTTACAAGCTAAACGGGGCCAGAATAATGTAATTAGTGCAGATAAATAAGAAATTTGTATCTTCCTGGCGCATTGAGGTTATAAAAAGATGTATTTTCTGACCGTGTAAAATGAGATCGCGTAAATTGATACCGTATATAAGAAAATTTCACGCAAGTGAAGGGACCATTTACCGTTTCAAAAAAAAGTCAAAAAAAGGAAGAAAAAGAATCTTACACGAAAAGGAGCGTGTAAATCGAGACTCGGGTGCACTTATACCAGTGCAATAAAATAATAAATGTATTAAAATATAAAATGTAATAAAATATAGAATGTAGTAAAATACGACATATAACGGAATATAAAATATAACGAACATAATATATATTGGCATGTAAAATACGATGAACTATAAAATTTAATAGGATATAAAGCATAACGAAGGTTAAAATGTAAACTAAAAAATATAACGAGGTATAAAATATAAGGAAGTATAAAATTTTATAATCGTATATGGCAACTTTCTTGGAGACCAATATTTGCAATTACAACTGCTGTGTATGCTCCTTGTAATGCTACATTTTTAGCATATACGTATTAAAATAATAAACATATATGGACCGTTTATTTTGAAAGTGGTGTAAGTCCATTTTTAAAAAATGGACTTAATTTACGTTTAACCATAATTTATGCTTAATTTAATGTAAGCTTTTTATTTATAACTAGTTAGTATTTAATATCTTAAAAAATGCTAATACTTTGTTCAAATTAAAATTGGCTGATGAAAGAAATTGCGTAGCCATTGACGGCTACATTTGTTTTATTTCACGTGTCGAGAGAATTTTGTTTCGACAAAAATCTACAAAACGCAATTAAAAAACAGATAAGAAGAAACACTAATGGTGAAAAGATAAACTGATTGGAAATATGTTGGTTGAGGTTTTGCAAAAGTGCACTGTGTACTATTTTATATAAAACGTCAATGAAGAATATAGAATTTAAAACTTTAAATTTATCATCCATATGTCTGGGAAGACCGCCAAAATTTGAAAAATCGACCTGTCGCCTTTGTATCACGATACCAGGATTGTTACATATAAAAAATATAAGGATATGGAGCAATTATTACCTTATATACCTCCTGTGCATCGTGAGTATTTCAAAACACTGCCACATGAAAAGCATAAATGAATAATACTAATATCTTATGTTAAGTTTAACGATATATAAATATAATTAATATTCAAAATAAAAAATACTACTTCTATTTTATTCCTCGTTCTTATTTATAAACAAAATTGGATTTAGATGAAATATATTTTAAGTGATCTTTAATTTTTCAAAATTGAAATTAAATGATTTTTACAACTGACTAATTATGGAAGTGATGTAAGTCCATTTGCAGCCCGTAAATATACATTATTTTAGTTAAATTCGCCTTAAAGAAATTTATATAATCAAATTAGATATTGATAAATTAGTAGAAACATTACCAGACCTGACATAATTAACTTATATTTTTTAATTGACAAATATGCTAACTTCTAATTTTCTCGAAACTACAGAAAATGGACTTGCACCACTTTCAAAATAAACAGTCCATATAATAAATATATAATATATATTAAATGTAATATATATATTAAAATAATAAATATATGTAATAAACATATAATAATATACATATTAAAATTATACGTAATTCGTATAAATGAAACTTTAATTATTAATTGAATTATCGTAGACGATAAAAGTCAGTCTTAAATTATAATAATTTTTTCTTCTTAATTAATCTTAAATTATAATAATTATTTTAATAATTTAAACTCTAAATTATCTTTCCAATAATAATTCCAAAAATGTAAACTATTCGACTAGATTGATTATTTTTTTAGCTTTTGAATTTATTTTTCACATGCTTACGAATTTGTTAGTATCGTTTGCTACATCGACAAATAATTTCATTTAATATTTCATTTTTGATAAATTTCTTATTAGCGAAAATTAGATATCGTTCTATCTACCTGTTCTTCTAATCTCTTGCTTTGTCAAGAATTTATTAAGATCATATGCCAGAAACATGATACTTGACTCTTACTTTTTATTTTTTAAGAGATAAAAATTTAGGAATCCGATATATCAACTAATCTTATATCACCAAAATTATCTTTTTATACAGTTTCGAAATTAATCCGCGTTTCTAGTGTTTGAATATTTAAAAGATATTATATCATTTAATACTAACTCCTTGCCCTAATTTAACGAATTTGTGACAAATTTAGTTGCGACGAGTCGGAGTCGTCATATAATATTCGAAACTATTAAACAATACCGTACAAAATAAAATTATTCGTGTAATTCACTTTCAAAAATTCTGTTGTATTATGCCGTATTATAATTATATGGTATATTTAATCTCTTAAAACGAATACATTGTCCCTTAAATGACATTATCTGATTTACTTTCTTGCTATTATTTAAGAAAATTGAGGCTAAAATTATCAATCTGTAATACGTACCTAAATATAACACGCATAGTACCTAAAGTGATATTAATTAAAATAATATTAATTAAATGAAAATAATACCTAAAGTGATATTAATTAAAATAATATTAATTAAATGAAAATAATACCTAAAGTGATATTAATTAAAATAATATTAATTAAATGAAAATAATACCTAAAGTGATATTAATTAAAATAATATTAATTAAATGAAAATAATACCATGTTGCCGGGTGTATAATATGTGTGACCGTGTGTACCAATGATACCATGAAAATAAAAAAATTATTATACACAATTGTGTCCATATCTGATTAAAAATCAATGTTCAGTTTGTCAATAGAATTTGTATATTTTCAAAAATTTCAAAAGTAAGAGTCTGAAAGACGTCATTTTGATTTCTTTTATAGTTCTAGTATTAAATATTGCTTTTAGTATAATCCCTGCCTAAATAAAAATGAATGTTCAGTTTGTCAAAAGGACCCGGATATTTTCAAAAATTTCAAAAGTAAGTCTGAGAAACATCATTTTGATTTCTTTGATAGTTCTAGTATTAAATATCGCTTTTAGTGTAATCCAAAAATTCAAAAATTTCAAAAGTAAGAGTTTGAAAGACGTCATTTTCATCTTTTTAATAGTTCTAGTATTAAATATTGCTTTCAGTATAACGCCTCGAAATGAAATGATAACTCGAGGGGTTAGAAGACATGTCTTTGGACCTGACAAATTGTTCCTCTTCTCAACTCTATCGTATAAGAGTTATTACGTCTCTCATTTTTAATTACCAAGCGATACAAGAGTCCAAGAAATAGCCAAAAATAGATTTAGCATACTCTTCCTATTTGACCCTCAAATGTTGTAACTATTTGTAAGAACTTACGGGCATTGACAGATAGTTGCTGGACAATTTGGCGGATAACGAAGGCAGTTGGTCTGACACCAATTGTTCATTCCTGGTATACGCCGATACAGAGGAGTAGACAGGCACACCTGAGATCTGAAATCGAAAACACGGATTGAGATTCTTCGCGCATACAACGGGTAATGTTACCTAGTTTACAGAATCGAAAACATTAGGCTATTCGAGTTACCGTTCGCTGCATTTTAAACAGCGAGGTAACCGCAGGAAACTTGAGTCACAATTACAATAAAGCGACGAGGTGAACGTCAACAAAATTAAATTATGTATAGTACAATTATGCAAGTGTTTACAGCTTTTATAGTGGAAGAGGTCATGTTCGTTGTGGGTTTTTTGTACCAATCGCAGAAAAACAAGGTACACTCTTCGTAAAACTAAAATTATACTTGACCCGTTTGCATCGTAAAAAATAATGGAAAGTATGCTGTTATCGTAGAATTTTTGTTATAAATACTTAACCAGTTAGCTGTGATTGGCGAGTATACTCGTCATGGAGAAGTGGCAGGATTTTGTGTCATGACGAGTATACTCGTCATGCGTAAAAAGTAGTGACCATTGGCTATTTAAATTGTAATTTTTGTGAAAAATAAACATATTCTCAAATTTCAAGATGTTTAGAATATTTTGAGGCCAGGCCGGAATAAAACAAACAAATAAAAAATATGAATAATTTGAGATGAACTCACGCGTCCCCGTATGCTCCGGCTGAAACAGCTTATCAGTTCGCATAACGAATTTATTTATGCGCGATGATAACGTTTCTTAGATGTAGCGTAAAAGGGGCAAAAGCAAAAGTCAGAAAGCTGATTTACGATAGGGTTCCTTCAGGGATGGTCCGCCACGGGACAAATGCGTGACGCTGACCAGGCGCTGAGCCCATTGATGGCTGCTGGCCCGAAATTACCCAGCTATTTTTTGACGGTCACTAAAATTCATAGATATCCATAAAAACTAACCAATAAGAGAATAGATGTTAACCAAATAAGTAAATATTAGTAATAAAATTGTCAATTTTATAAAATAAACTCATCTTTTTGATCCAATATTTTAACAGCGACACTTACTCTGTGATCGACGAGTATACTCGTCGTCGCTCGATTTTCGCGACACATATGGGTGCGTGCTCTCAAAAGGGAGCGCCACAGCTAACTGATTAAATTTTGCACTACGCATCGTTGAAGAATTATTTTGAGTTAAGCGACATTCTAATTCTTCAGCCAACTGGTTAATACGTATTTATAGAAATTATAAATATTAATTTAATGAAAGTATTTCATTATTAATTCGTTTCGTTATTAATATTTCGACTAATATTAATTAATTTCGTTATTAATATTTCGTTATTATTAAATTATAAATATTAATTTATACATATTTCAAAAGGTATTACAATTTTGATATCACAGTGATTTGTGAAGAATAAACAGGAAGAAATAAAGTCATAATCGTATATACGTCATGTGTCAATTGCTTCGTGATAAGAATTCGTGCTCTGTAATAAAAGAAAGAAGGAATTAAGATTTAATCTGTTTGCAGTTAATATTATTCACTCGTAACGTAATTACACGTGTGTATATACACACTGGTGCTAACAACCAGGAAAATTGCAGATATATGTACGCTAACGATGCAAATGATTTAACAGCTTTCAACACGAGCAAAATTTGCAGAAATCATAAAAGCTTTTACAATTTCTTTGTGAATGAGGTAAGTATATAGGACTAATAAAAATTCAACAATCTCGTTTCAATACGCAATTTTTCATAATTAAATTGTAGCGCAAAGGGATAATAGCTATTCTACTAAAATGTTAGAATTTTCATTTTAAAATATTATTTAAATTTGTCAGAATATTGTCTCAATTTTAAACGTACTTTTAATTCTGAATACTTAATTTTAAATATATTTAATCGCGATATTTCGTGTAAATATGTGCAAATATTATGATGTTCCACATTTTGATTTTTGATGTTAGATTATATCCTATTATCGTTAAATTCATTTAGTAATTAATTATTCGCAATTCAGGAACAGAATATAAAATATATTAACCCTTTGCGCTCGACGATTTTCTGGCTAAAGAAGGGTACGAGTTGAAAAATTTTCTACTATAAGGCTGATGATATTTTTTGAGCAATAAATAAGACATATAAATCACTAATTGAGAATATTATAGTCATCTTAAACAAGTTCTAATAATATTTCGTAATTTAGTATTATATCAAATCAAATGGATTAATTTGATTCATTGAAAAGAAAGAAGTAAATAGAAATCGTTAAATCGCTCTATAAACATAATAAATATATAAGGTAAATATACTGAAGTAATTATACTAAAATTCGCAAGAGCATGTTAAATGAAATGCTCGAAACTCGTCTTATGAAATTTTGGAATGCAAAAAATAATACCTTTCTTATTACCCATAAGTTTCTTAACCCTATTTCTTTTAAATGTGTACGTATGTATATACATATATGATGTACTACTAGTATATTATAATTCTCATGTCTCTTTATGCCGATATATAAAATTACAGTTAAAATTATAGCACAACGGTAGAATTTTATAAATTATTACAATATAAATTATAAATAATTGATAAATTACTACGGCAAAAATTGTACCCTGTACCCCACCATGAAAATTCCTACGATACACCATACCCATATGAATAATTCGAAAGAGACTCTACAAATAGCTATTACAAATACAGTGAAACATCGATTGTGACAATAGATTAATGAATCTCGATGAAGTCGAGGAAACAAGAGTTTAGACGCGTGTTTTATCTGAAAGGATTCGTTGGAAAGTTAAGAGTATTCCAAGAATTTTATCAAGATTTTATGGAAATTGGATCTAGGTTACATATCATAATTCGCACTCATTTAAATCTGTATAGCGTAAATTAGATTTGTTGTTCTATTTAAGCTGGTTTATGGCCAAGAATCTACTCTGTAACGCTATTTCCTTATTTTCCTTAAGCAATTTTTTATAATTTCGTGAAAGAAATAATTTTGTAACTAATTGTTAACATATTAAATATAAGTATAAATTTTATAACAAAATTTTCAATAGAAAAGCTGTGTTCGATAAATACTTTCTAAGCTCTTCGTTCGATAGAACTATTTATTAAAGCACAAATTTATTATTCGCAATTAATAGAAAAAAATTATAGCAATGATGTCTTGGACATATCGTGATTAGAGAAAACCCAATTATCGCATATCGTATCTGATATTTTCATAGGATATAAAATCAGACTGTATATTGTAAATATAAATGTATCGAACTAGCAAAAAGTCGAATTATTAATTATATTTAATTAAATTTAATTAATTTAAAAAATGAATTACAGTCTACATACCGAATTATTGTATTTTTCCAACTAATCAATTGTCCATTGACAATGTGCAATGTACACTTCTTATTATTCTACACCTATGTAATAATTTTTCTTCGTAATAACTGTATAATCCATCAACATGCAGAAAATCATTTGGCCTAAATAGCAGTGCCATAACTGTAAATTCGTTGCTATATAGGATAAGTTAATTATAATTGACAATTTGAAATAACTTATCGTCTATTGGCTTTAGTAGAAACTTATATATCGTAAGACCTTCGCTATCTGGATATTCCACTACTCGACTACTTTAAATGTTCTATAATACTATTTAATAACACTCGACTAAACATTCTAGAAAACATTTTCAATTCTACGATAAAATTTAATTTTCATTTAAAAAATTGTTTTTTCAGAGATTTGTACTTCTATGACTAGATCTAATATCACTGTAATAACGCGAAGTTTTACGTGGATTCCATTACAAAAATTAAATAAATTTCAAATCGAAATTAAATAAACACCTCTTTGGTCATTTATCAATGATTCACAGAAAATTAACGAATACACACAAATTTTTCTTTTCCCTCTTCTTTCCTTTTTTTGAAATTTTCTATTAAAAAATAACTGGACAAAAGTATGCAAATCTGATTGATCACTGTTACAAAAGATAACTATCTTTTTCGACGCGATCATAATAATGAAACACAAATTTTTGCTATTGCCAAAATTATAATAGATTTATATCAGATAGCTCGAAATGAAATAAACACGTTTTAGGCCATTTATCAATGATTCACAGGAAATTAACGAATACGCACAAATTAATTTTTCTTTTCCCTCTTCTTTTCTTTTTTTGAAATTTTCTATTAAAAAATAACTGGACGAAAGAATGCAAATCTGATTGATCACTGACACAAAATATAACTATCTTTTTCGACGCAATCATAATAATAAAACACGCAAATTTTTGCTATTGAATAAAAATGTAATAAATTTATATCAGGTAGCTCGAAATGAAAGAAACACGTTTTAGGCCATTTATGAATTAGTCATGCGAAATTAATAAATGCACGCAAATTCACGTCTCTTTTCTGTCTTTTTTTTAAATTTTCTATTAGAAAATAACTGGACAAAAGATGCAAATTTGATTGATCACTGCTACAAAAGATAACTATCTTTTTCGACTCAATCATAAAAATTTTTGCTATTGGCAAAAAATATAATAGATTTATGTCAGATCATATAAGATGGAATGACGAAAGAGAACGAGATACATCAATACCGAGATAAAAAGAAACAACAGAAAATATTGACGTATATAACACATGGAATTAAAGGTAATTAATCATAGGTATAAAATGAAAAACGTATTGAAGTAACTTGGCTTACTGGGTTCTGACAGTGTTGGTTTTATGTATGAGAGTGTGAGTGAGGTTGAATGAGTGAAACTCATTTGTCATATAATTGTGCAATGTGTGGTATAAATATAATGTGTGAATGATGTTTAAAAAATCTTGAGAAGAATATGCCAGAATGAAACAGTTGTCTGAGACATGTCAAGGAGAGAACACGTAAATTTAATAGTGATTAATAATGAGTGAGTGAGAGAAGAAACTTCTGGAAAAAGTGCACCAATTTATCATTTCAAATAGTTTATTATTTAAATATTTTAACTTAAATATATTTTGTGAGTTGCTCGTTAAAAGGGTCTCGTATATTATTGTCCATTTT